ATTTCACATGCTGTTGTGCAAATGGAATAGACAACAGGTGGAAAGCATAGGCAATTAGCAAGGCATCCCCAATAAAGGAGTGGTTCTGCAGGTGGTGACCACAGACCACTTCTCAGTTCCTATGCTTTCTGGCTGATGGTTTGGTCACTTTTGAATGCTGGCAGTGCTTTCATTCTAGTGGTAGCATGAGATGGAGTCTACAACCCACACAAGTGGCTCAGGTAGTGTAGCTCATCCAGAATGGCACATCAATGTGAGCTATGGCAAGAAGGTTTGCTGTGTCTGTCACTGTAGTGTCCAGAGCATGGAGGCGCTACCAGGAGACAGGCCAGTACATCAGGAGACGTGGAGGAGGCTGTAGGAGGGCAACAACCCAGCATCAGGACTGCTACCTCTGCCTTTGTGCAAGGAGGGACAGGAGGATTACTGCCAGAGCCCTGCAAAATGACCTCCAGCGGGCCACAAATGTGCATGTGGCTGCTCAAATGGTCAGAAACAGACTCTATGAGGGTGGTATGAGGGCCCAACGTCCACAGGTGGGAGTTGTGCTTACAGCCCAACACCGTGCAGGACATTTGGCATTTGCCAGAGAGCACCAAGATTGGCAAATTCACCAGTGGCGCCCTGTGCTCTTCACAGATGAAAGCAGGTTCACACTGAGCACATGTGACAGACGTGACAGGGTCTGGAGACGCCGTGGAGAATGTTCTGCTGCCTGCAACATCCTCCAGCATGACCAGTTTGGCAGTGAGTCAGTAATGGTGTGGGGTGGCATTTCTTTAGGGGGCCGAAAACCCCTTCATGTGCTCACCAGAGGTAGCCTGACTGCCATTAGGTACTGAGATGAGATCCTCAGACACCTTGTGAGATCATATGCTGGTGCGGTTGGCCCTGGGTTCCTCCTCATGCACAATGCTAGACCTCATGTGGCTGGAGTGTGTCAGCAGTTCCTGCAAGACGAAGGCATTCCCTAGAATGCCTTCCCTAGAATGTCAGTTCCCTAGACCTGAATCCAATTGAGCACATCTGGGACATCATGTTGCGCTCCATCTACCAACGCCACGTTGCACCACAGACTGTCCAGGAGTTGGGGGATGCTTTAGTCCAGGTGTGGGAGGAGATCCCTCAGGAGACCATCTGCCACCTCATCAGGAGCATGCCCAGGCGTTGTAGGGAGGTCATACAGGCACGTGGAGGCCACACACACTACTGAGCCTCATTTTGACTTGTTTTAAGGACATTACATCAAAGTTGGATCAGCCTGTAGTATTTTTTTCCACTTTAATTTTGAGTGTAACTCCAAATCCAGACCTCCATGGGTTGCTAAATTTGATTTCCATTGATAATTTTTGTGTGATTTTGTTGTCAGCACATTTAACTATGTAATGAACAAAGTATTTAATAAGAATATTTCATTTATTCAGATCTAAGATGTCTTATTTTTGTGTTCCCTTTATTTTTTTGAGCAGTGTATGTATGTACATAGATATGAATAAAGCAGATCTTTTTATTTCATTTGGTTTATTTAATATATATGAAGAATAGATCCCCATTCAGAATCAACTGAAGATATGTGAATTTCCATGAAAAAAAATATACATCCTTAGAAAGAAAAGAAAAACACAGATAGCTTAGTTTCGGTAGAATGTTAAAATAACAAAACCATTCCCCTTATTAGAACCTTATGCTTTTATAAAGCTTTAATAAAGTTTATTTTTTTAAAAAAGAACCTTATGCTTTTTTGCTTTCTTCATATTTAAATCAGAACTTGTGTCTCAGCCTGACATCAGCAATATTCTTTTTGCTGTTTATTTAACAGCTATTTAACATGAGATGTAAAGAAAATACATCTGGGAAAATAGTTATACAATGTATCTAAAAACAAACCAGGAAGAGATCAGTCATAAAGGGAAACAAGAAAGTGTGCGATTTTTTTCAAGACAGCAAGGCATATAAGGGAAGCTAAGAATTATAAAAGTGGAAAAGCAGAAAATCCAGAAAGAGTTACAATCGAACATCAAGTTCTAAAAAAAAAAATTACAAAATTGCAATTGCAAAAATTTATGTTACTATTTAGTATTTTTGTTTCATGTGCATTTAAATTTACATGCAGTATACACATATTTTTCATCCATAATCTAATCCTATTAAATACTGCGGGTGAAAGAACGGAGGGGTCAAGAATCAACATTTGCTAATTTTTATTAATCCTAATATTCGGCTAACAGTGACAGCAGCTCAGCTAACAGCAACAGCTGATTCCTTCTGACAGCGTTCCTTTTATAGTCAGGCAGCCAATCAGAAATGTCCCTTCCCGCTTAAACAGCAGACAGTGAAAACTTCAGTTCACAACACTCCTTCCCACCTGGACAGAGCATGCATAGTCTTGCAAATAGGCTGGGCGGTGCCTCTTCCTCCCTGATTTATGCAGTTCAGTTTTGGTGGCCGGACTATGCGGACTGGTTGCAATTGCTCTCAGGTCCTCTGGAAGCAACATTGGAGACTTGGCCATAGGCATTCCTGAATTGAGCAGGCCTGACTCCAAAGGTAGGCCCACCTGGTGGTCAGTCCCACTGGGCATTGAGTCCATTGTTTCATCAATGGTGTTGCTTTGGGATGGGCTCATTCTGGCTGGTGATTTGGAGCGGTGTCTCAACTGGTTGATGTGTCGACACCACACCTGCCATCCTCCAGTTCCAAGAACTTTGTTCTTGGTTGAGTGCCTGGTGATTTCTGTGGCTGTTACAGAGGGTGGAACAACATCTATCAAGAGAACTGAGGTTGCTGGGCTGGGTCTTCTACTGTGGTGGGTAGCAGGCAATGGCTGAGGGTGTTGGTGTGGCTCAGGTTTTTTCCTGCTTGATGTGTGAGTTTATAGTTGTATGCTGCTAGAAAAACTGTCCAATGGGTTATGTGAGGGGACAATACTTGTGGCGTTTGGTCATCTCCAGCAAGCAGGCCCAGCAATGGCTTGTGGTCCATCACTAGTTTGAAATGATGGCTATAGAGGTACTTATGGAAGTGTTTAACTCCGGCAACTGCATCAATGCTTCTTTGTCAATTAGGCTGTAATTTTGTTCTGCCGGTGACAACTTACTACTTGATAAGATAGAAAAATGCGGGTTAGACAACATCAACATTGATGTATTCATAACCCAATGCATAGTCTTTAATGGAACTGCATCTATATGGAGGAAAGCTTGCAGTAGAGTATCAAAGATTCTGTCTTAGGCCCTATATTCTTCAATGTCTTCATAAATGATTTAGATGAGAAAATAAAGGGCAATTCATTAAATCTGCAAATGACACCAATCTAGGTGGAATATACAACACTTTAGAACGTAGGCTCAAGATATAGAAGACTGCTGACATAGTCTTGAACACTGGACCCTATTCAAAAATGCAATTCAGTGAGGGAACTTCCAGTTTGAGCCTCTTCATGGACAAACCAAAACCATGACTGTGCGTGGTTTTGATCCATGCTCGCCACTGGAGTTCCCCGAGCCGGCCATTCCATATAGGTGGTGAAGAGGGGGGAGACTGCCAGCAGGGTTGAGGAGAGCCGCATTTCTCCTCCTCAGCTGGCCATTACTGCCTTTCCTGAAGGCGGTTGCAGCAGTGGTCAGAAATGGTTACCTCAAAGAAGAATTCGACCAGAAAAGAATGTGCAGGAGGAAGATAAGAAGAGAAAGTTTTAGTTGACCAGGTTAAACTGCAAAAGCAACAACTAAGGTACCCTGGAATTTAAACTAAAAAAAAAAGTAACATTGTTCCCAAAGAAGATTTTGAAGCAGCGAAGGAAAGAAAAAAGGAAAGGATTTGGGTTTTTTTCTTCTCTCCTTTTCCCTATACTGACAGCTAAGAGATCTAAATAAGAAATTGGAAAAAAAATCCACTTTGACATCAATAGGCATTTAAGCTGAAAATAAAATGTCAAAGGGACAATAAAGATTTCTGGATACTTAAAACCTTTTAAAAGCAGGAAAGGAGAGAAAAAGAATAAAAGGGCAGGATCTGGAAAAAAGGGAGGAGACTGCCTAGAATTAAAAGGAATTTACAGTAAAACTTCAACAAGACTTCTAAAAGATACATTTTAACTGAAAGTTGGCAACAAAATAGGAGAACCCCAGGAAGAGAAAGTGGAAAAAAGAAGCATGAAGAAACAGCTTGGGAGTACTTGGATTATTTAGTGATCTCTGGATTTTTGGTTATTGCATTTGAATGACTAAAATCAATTGGGTGGTTGTTTAAGGGTGTTTAAAATGGCACTACTTTTAGATGAACTGAAAATGGAACTTAAAAAGTACAAAGAAGATGCACAAGAAGGGAGAGGTTCTTTTGGCTTCGTGTTTCAATTCTTAGAAATGGAGATTTCAAACTATGAGAAACAACAAGAAATGCCTGCAGAACAAGAAGACTGGGACAAGGAGGAAGCCATCTTTAATGAACAAGTAATTTTATGTGGAGGAAAAAAAGGAAAGGGGGGGAAAGAAAATGAAAAGTTTAAGATTTGAAAGGAGGCATGCATGCCTGCATGGCAGAGCTGAGCTGGGGTGATGTTGTGCATGCCCACAGAGAGGGCTCTGCATGCCACCTGTAGCATGTGTGGCAAAGGTTTGCCACCACTGGTCTAAGGTCTCATGCTTGAGCAGGGAGTTGGACTAGAAAACCTCCAAGGTCCCCTCCAACTTTGAAAAAAAGAAATGCAATTACCCTTGACTTTCAGTTTGATCAGTACTTGGTAAACATTTTCAAGCCTAACTTTATAACTGTAGAATAGGAAAACTTTCATTTTTTAGTTACAAATCAGTTTCTACAACCTTCACAAAAATTCTTGGAATTTTTTTTCACAGTTGTATTAAATTGCAAAAATACACAAAGAGAAGAAAAACTGGAAATGAATTACAAAACACAACAATTCAGCAAGCCCAGATTTAAAGATGAAAACTACTGATACCACTGAATCATAGTCATAAGCAAATAGCCAGCATAAAACTTACAGGAATTGTATTATTCTTCACGGTCACACTGGGAGTTGTTGCACGCAGTGCCCCACTCACTCCATGGTAATATTTGAAGCAGATCTTTGTTTCAGCTGAAATAAAAAGTAATAACTTTTAATTATATCCATTGAGCAGACTCAGTCATAGTACAAGAAAATTTATTTTGAGTACATAATTCATAAACTCAAATAATTCTTCAAATTAAATAAAATTTAATGAATCTAATTAAAAAGTTATTTTTAAAAACAATCCAACTACAGGTAGTCTGTCAGGATTCCAGCAGTTACCCCAATTCAATCATGAGTCTCGAGCCAAACTTCCAAAACTTCAAAGGATTTATTGGGAGTTAATATGGTGTAGCTGATTCTGAGACACATAATTCATTATTATCCTTGACCCTGGTTTTTTCGCCCACCCCTGGTGTATCATAATTCATCTTCTCCAACGAGACACATCCATAACCAAGAGTCATCAATCATGTTCTCCAGTTAGATTTTTGCCCGGTAGAAACTTCAGTCACCTAGTTACTATCTCTGAAAAACTATGTATGGAATGCATTTTCGATTTCCAAGCTGCCATACTGCTCTTTCAAACCCCTTTCGCCCCTTCCTTTCTGCTTGCAACTCTAAAACGACCATAGAAATATTTTATGACCTGACATAATCCTTGACTTATGACCACTATTAAGCTCAAAATTTGTTGCTAAGAGTCAATTGTTAAGTGGATTTTGCCCCATTTTATTACATTTCTTGCCACAGTTTTTAAGAAAATCACTGCAATTATAAATTTAGTAACAGGGTTGTTAAGTGAATCTGGCTACTCCATTGACTTTGCTTGTCAGAAGGTTGCAAAAGATGATCACATTACCCCAGGATACTGCAATCATAAATATGAACCAGTTGCCCAGCATCCAAATTTTGGTCATGTGACAATGGAAACGCTGCAATGATTTTAAGTATGAAAAACAATCATAAGTTATTTTTTCAGTGTTATTGTAACTTTGAATGGTCACTAAATGAACTGTTGTAAGTCGAAGACTTTTGTCTTTTGATACTCAAGCTAATTTGAGAAGGTATATAAATGGGGCTAGAGAGTTAGAGATAATTAGATAAAAATATAGTAAATATTCAAAGTTAGGAAACAATTTCCAAAAAAAGTAGACCTGACTTCATATTTCTTACTCTTGCTCAGCACAAAATAGGTTTTGTTTCAGAAGTGGTATTCAGCAGGTTCTGACCAGTTCTGGAGAACCGGTAGCAGAAATTTTGAGTAGTTTGGAGAATTGGAAAATACCACCTCTGACTGGAGATTTTACAGTATCCTTCCCCTGCCACGCCTACCAAGCCACGCCCACAGAACTGGTAGTAAATTTTTTTGAATTCCATCACTGTTCTGCTTATGTGTAATTTTATATTTATGATCATTGCAGCATTTCCATAGTCATGTAATCAAAGTTCAGACACATGGCAACTGACTCACATTTATGATGGATGGCTTTTGAAAAAGGCCTTTGGATGGCTTTTGAAACATGTGATTCATACTAACCAACAGAAAATTGTTCAGACTTTTGCATTAAGTTCAATTGTGTTTTATAACAGCAGGTCTTGTTTTTCAGCATCATTTCCCTTACCTTTTTTCTAAAAAAATCCACATTAACTTGTTTACAAAGCAATTTAATATGATTATACTTTCTGTTGCTAAGTGAGACATTTGTTAAATGAATTTTGCCCTGCTTTTCTTGCCACAGTTGTTAAATGAATCATGGCAGTTAGTAACCAAAGGTAATAATATGATTCCAAGATATTGCAACCATCATAAATTTCCTGTAGGCCGCCTAGAGTGAGCAAGGCAGCCATATATCTTTTCCAAATAAATAAAAAAATAGAGTCAGTTGCCAAGGGTCTGAATTTCGATCACCTGACTATGGAGATGCTGTAACAATCATAAGTGTGAAAAATGGTCATATCACTATTTTTAGTATGTTTGTAAATTTGAATGGTCACTAAGTTGTAAGTCAGGGATTACTTGTACTTGTATTATGATGCTTATAGTAATAATCTCTCTATATAAAAGCAAAATACCACTCAAGCATCATCACAAAATCTCTAGAACTGTAAAGCCTACAAACTTGAAATTTAGTACGTATGTTCCTCTTGGCTTCTAGGTGCTCACTGAGAAAGGATTTTTCGAAATGACAATCAGAGCATTACTATTTCGTATATTATTATTAACACACTCTGATTCTAAGGAGTTCTACTCCCCCTCCCCACCTGAAAAGAAATCTGTTCCAAATGCAAAACACAAGCAGAGGAGAGGAGTTTCAGATTCAGTTTCACAGCACCAAGCAGCTTTAGTGCAGAACAGTTGAGATACGTCAAGCCCAGACTCCTTGCTGTCTCCTTCTTGTTCACACAGCAAACAGCGTTCAAATCTCTCCACATTGACAGGGCACTAGAGCCAGTTGATTACTGATGGATGCTGGTAGGCAGAGGCAGAATTTTTTCCCCTTTATTTTCCTTCCCCAAAACTAAACCTGAGCACATAGTTTCATAGCGAAGCATGGATATTGAGCTAGTGTGCTGAAGACCAGATGGCTGGTGGGGAGGTGGGGCAATCCTGCAATCTCCCTAGCAAACCTGTGTCGTGGCTGCTGCCTCCTGCCTCAGTGCATCGAGGAGGATGAGCAGCAGCGGGAAGAGCGTAGACCTCCCGAGCTGCAGGAAGCAGCTGCCAGCGATGCCCTCAGTTGAAGATGTTGCGAGCGGGAGGATTGACCCCCTCCTCACAGGAGCTTCTCTTCTCTTTCACCAGAAGCACTCACATGCGCAGTGGGAAGGGGGAGGGAGGGAGGGAGAGAGAGATGAGGGATCCCGGTGTTTTGTTTTCTGTGGGAAATAGGTCCAAATGACTCTTTGAGTATTTAAGGTTGCAGAAACAGGCAGCCAAGCTAAGTGCCTGAAGGACCCCCATCCCAACAGTCGGAGTCCAGGTGCTTCAGCAAGCGGCATGCTGGATTCATATTAGTGGTCTGCGGGATTTAAAATTATGAGTTTGGTGGTGCCTGAGGTCCAAAAGGTTGGCCACCCCTGGCTAGGGAAACTGCAGGATTGCCCCACCTCCCCGCCAGCCATCTGGGCTTCAGCACATGGCTCATTGGTCTCTGGACATAAGATTCCCATCACCCAGCACCAGTTCAGAGATTCCTTTCTCCCCACCCCCTACCCCCTCGCAGGCCAGGGAACACCCAGGAAGGGCTCCGATGCCGTGATCTCCCATGCATTACCCTCCCTCCCTGTACACATCAGTCCATCCACTGCCAGTATCACCCCTGCAGCCCACCAAAATTTTCTCGTGGCCCACTGGTTGGCAACCACTGATCTAGATAACAATGTGGATTTCTTCATATAGTTGCTAGGGGCCAGATCTGACTTGAAAGAATTTGTTTTCTTCATAGCAATTTTAACAGTTTAGTTGCCACAGCTTTACTGACTTATAAACCATAATAAAAAGCTGGTAATATCAAAATAGCTTATACAGCTCTATTTAGAATTGGAATGACAATTCAGTACAGTAGCTTGTTACTTAGTATGTAAATATTCTGCATACAAAAAAAATGTAATCTATTAAATTTTCTGAAACTACAGTAGTAATATACAGCTATAAACTGATGGGCTTACTAAATACTTAAAGCTTAATAGCATCTTAGTAACAGCAGTTTGTATTCTAAGGAAAAATAGTATATGAAGTATATAATTCTTCATTAAAAAATCAGGAATGGTGAATAAGTTCCTCTGAAAGACAATGTGTTTTGATCTTGTTCTGCAATTTGCAGCCACAGGAAAATATACCCAATATGAATAAAATATGTCCTAAATATTATCTATATGCAAGTTATGCAAATTTTGAAGTGAGGTAGAAAATGTAACTAAGATGAGGAGATACAATGGATAGAGAGGGAATGTGCATTCTATATGATACATTTCGGCAATTATAATTGGAACTTTAAATTGTTTATTGAGAAATATTAAAAAATTGAAAAGAAAATGCAAACTTTAGTCAAGAGTAATTTTACTAATTTTAAATATAAATAATAGGTAACTTTTGACAATGGGAGAAACTACAGAGTTTAGGTTAGCAAAACTGTAATAGAAACAAAGTTTATCTACAAATAGGCAAGTTAAAATTAGTGAGATTCAGTTTCTTTTCTCTTTTACAAAACAACAACAACAA